TTCAGTCCAAATAAAAGATCTGTCCTCTTAGTGAATCTATTTCACATCCCTTCCTTCTTTGTTGAGCTGTGTTCCCTGAAATTCACATTGAAAGCTCTCAAGTTCTGCCCCTCAGATGGAATGAGTTTTATAGTTAGTTAAGATGAGGTCACCTGGAGCAAGGTGGACCCCCTAAACCAGCTGGTATTCTCACAAAAAGAAAACGCCTTTAATCCCAGCACTCGGGAGGCAGAGGCAGGTGGATCTCTGTGAGTTCGAGACCAGCCTGGTCTACAGAGCGAGTTCCAGGACAGCCTCCAAAGCCACAGAGAAACCCTGTCTCAAAAAACAAAAACAAAACAAACAAACAAATAAAAAAAACCTTTGGACACAAAGATAGACATACTCACAGGGAAAGAAAGATAGACATACTCACGGGAAGAATGTTAACTTGAGGAGGACTGGATCCTTGCTGACACAGTCAAGGAACCAGACTGGCAATGTTCAAGAGCTAGGAAGAGGGCATGCAGCTGACTCTCACAGTCTTGGGAGTGAGCTATGGGATGAGGTAATGTATGTGCATGTTTTCAAACTTTAAGTATGTGGGTTGCTTTTTTTCCTGTAACACCTGGTCTAGCAAACCACATCTATATTTGGATGATTCCAAAATCTAGATTTCTTCTGCTCTTTTCTTGTCTAATTGCAATACACACACACACACACACACACACACACACACACACACACACACACACACACACAGTTTGTTAGTTTTGTTTTTGGAGACGGGATTTGGAGATTGTCCTGGGACTCAATATGTAGACCACTGCCTTGAAGTCCACTGTCATCAAAGACCAGCTTCCTGTCTTTCAGCACCTGACATTGGGAACAGAAGCTTTCTCTGTCTTGGTTTCATTAAAAAAAAAATCACCATCATTATATCATAATTTTTAGATTTTGAGACAGGGGGTCATTAGGTAGCCCAGACTGGAGTCAGATTTTGTTTGGTGAAACTCATGATTCTCCAGCTGCAACCTTTGGTGTATTACAGTTTTGGGCCTGCACCATGATGCACTCACCTTAATTAATAAAGAGAACGAATGCTAACACTATCACTTAGGGTCTTGTTCAAGTTTCATTTCTGTTGCTGTGATAGATATCTTGACCAAAGGAACTTAGGGGAGCCTTATTTGGCTTACGGTTCTAGGTTTCAGTGCATTTCTGAAGGGAGTCAAGGCAGGAACTCAAGCTCAATAGTATACTTCATGGACAAGAACAGAAAGAAATGAATGGACCCTTGCTGGGTGCTTGCCTCACCCAACTTTCTCCTGTCCTATACAGTTCAGGAGCCCTGCCCAGGGACTTGTGTTACCCACAGTGGGCTGCGGCTTCTCACATCATTTAACAAGCAGGACCATCTCCCAGCAGCCAACCTCATCTAGGCAATTTCTCAGTTGTGGCTATCTTCTTATGTGATTCTAAGCTGTGGTACCTTGACATTCAGAACTAAACAGCATAGGTTCTATGACAAGGGATAAAATAAAGAAGCTAGCATATTAGGTGGTATTTATGACATGCTAAACAAAATTCCATATCATTATTCATTACTGTTCTTATTATAGCAACAAATGTGTGTGAGTATGGTGCTGAACCAGACTAGGCACACACTCTACTATTGTGTTATATTACAGCTCCAGCTTCACTCATTTTTAAAAATTATTTTTAATTAATTAATCAATCAATCTTATTTTTTTGATACAGGGTTTCTCTGTATAACAGCCCTGGATGTCCTGGAACTTGATTTGTAGATCCTCCTGCCTCTGCCTCCCAAGTGCTGGCAATTTTTAAAAAATAAAACATTTATTAGCTGGGCGTTGGTGGCGCACGCCTTTAATCCCAACACTTGGGAGGCAGAGGCAGGTGGATTTCTGTGAGTTCGAGGCCAGCCTGGTCTACAGAGTTAGTTCCAAAACAATACAGAGAAACCCTGTCTCAAAAAACCAAAAAAAAAAAAAAACTTATTTATTTTACTGATACTTTGGGTAATTTGATGTATCAACACTGTATTACAATCACCTTCCTTTATCAATAGTAATCGTTTTATTCTCATGGCACTGTTGATGTGCAGGTTACTTTTGTATGTTCAGAAAAAGCTCTGTTCAGGAAAAGTATGGTGGCGAAAGCCTTTTATCAAAGCACTCAGGAGAGACGGAGGTGGTTCTCTGTGAGTTCAAGGCCAGCTTGGTCTACAAAGCAAGTTTCTAGGGCAACCAGGCCTGTTACACAGAGAAGCCCTGCCTCTAAAAAAACAAACAAAAAGCTGAAAAAAGTTGAAAAGCTCGATTCACTCTTCTCTCATCATAATTAGTGGTAACTGACTTTGTTTTGTTTTGTGCTTTGAAGTTGATTTGGCTGGCTATGTGGAACATAATCCTGGACTTAGGCCCTCACAATTTGTTTCTGGTCAGCATCTTGGGGATGGCAGGTAGTTGCTCAAATTTCAAGTGCAGCTATCTGCATGTAAAGGGTTACAGCCCACTATTTTTTTTTTCAGCCCACTGTTTTGTATATACTCTTACTAGTCTATATTTGTATATACTTGCCGGGCAGTGGTGGCACACGCCTTTAATCCCAGCACTCGGGAGGCAGAGGCAGGCAAATCTCTGAGTTTGAGGCCACCCTGGTCTACAAGAGCTAGTTCCAGGACAGCTTCCAAAGCCACAGAGAAACCCTGTCTCGAAAAACCAAAAAAAAAAAAAAAATATATATATATATATATATGTATATATGTGTGTGTGTGTTTATATGCATATATATATATGCATACATATATTTATGTAAATGCTAGAAGCTAGAATGTGCTAGGTAAGACTCGCTAACCTCTATATAAATTTTTGCCACCTTTGCTGATATCTGAAATTGAGAGTCTAGCTTTAAAGAGTACGAAGTAGAAGAATCTCTATTTAAAACAAGAATGTCTTCATCACAAGTGTGCCCATTAATGGCTTCCTTTGGGTCATAACCAGGATTTAAAGGGGGGAGTTCCAGTTGCTAAAGGCTTCCTGCTGACTGAACGACATTTATTAGGGTGGACGATTAGGACAGAGAGCCAACATCAAAGGTTTGGAGAGAAACCAAGTCTGAACTGGTTTGTTCTGTGATGGGAACAGCACTAAAATTTAGGCACTAATCTAAAAGCACTTAACTATTTTTTGCTTAGTATAAACACAATCCTCACTGATTATTTTATCCATTTGTATTTTCCATCTTTATCATTTAGTCTCTTCTGTGAAACTCTTTCGGGGAAAAGAAACCAAATATGATTAACATTCACTCTTCTCTCTTTTGAGACATGGTCTCACTATTTAGTCCTGTCTGACCTGGAACGCCTCTACCCTCAAGAGCTGTGATTAAAGGCTTGCACCATATGTCTGCTTTGATACGTTAACTTTTTAATAACTTTAAATTAAGGAAAGTTCTTAAACTCTACTTACTACATTCTTTTCCGACTATATAATGTTTCAAAATCACGTTTCAAAGAGTCAAAGGGTTGCACCCTCCTCCTGTACTTACCTGCCCGGAACTCTTTAGTTCAAGCCCCTTTCAAACAAATAAATGCTGCCATAAACCCAAAGTCCTCTACGTTCACACATCATCTCCACCCTCCAACACCACGGCTTTTTCGTATTTTAATCTTTGACTAAAATACTATCTTTGAAAACGCACTTTTTTTTTTTTTGTTTTGTTTTTCGAGACAGGGTTTCTCTGTATTGTTTTGGAGGCTGTCCTAGAACGCGCGCTATAGACCAAGCTGGCCTCGAACTCACAGAGATCCGCATGCCTCTGCCTCCCAAGTGCTGGGATTAAAGGCGTGCGCCATCAACGCCCTGCAAATGCAGACATTTTTAAGTGTCGGCGGGCTATCATTTTAAAAGAAAAAGCACAATAAATACTGGCAAAATATGCACCGAGAAATTAACTACCTATCACATAATTTTTTTTTTAATTACAGAGGTAAGGAAGCAAGCGTAAGGCTTTAAAGGTGAAACTCAAACCTTTATTAGAAAAAGCTAAGAATGGCTGGGCGGTGGCGCACGCCTTTAATCCCAGCACTCAGGAGGCAGACAGGGGGATCTCTGCGAGTTAGAGACCAGTCTGGTCTACAAGAGCTAGTACCAGGACAGCCTCCAAAGCCACAGAGACCCTGTCTCAAAAAACAAACAAAATTAAAAAAAAAAAAAGAAAGAAAAGGAAGAAACTAAGAAGGAGCTCCATCAATTTTCTGAAATTCCCGAGTCTGATCCCTGTATCCACGGGCTGCCCATTGGAAGCTCTGCCTGGCTTCATCAGGGAGGGAAGTTGTCTGGCGTGTTTGCTTGGGAAGTAGAGGAATTGGCGATCCCTTCTAAATTAAATGTATTTGTTGGCGGCCCGGCCCTGGAACTCCGTTCCTGGGTGGAATGTGGGAGTTTTCAAACGTCAGGACTCCCAGGATCCCGGTTTCTGTGAAGCTGCGACTCGGAAAAACCTAGCGCCACAACCCAAAAGTTCAATCAGAACCGGCTGCTCTCAGGACCTGGCGACCTGGCTGCCAGGGCTCCTTAAACACGTTGCAAGGGAAGCGCATTCGTCAAGCAGCCTACAGAATGCTGCATTCACAGACACTCAGCGCGGCTTAGAAACAAAGGCACCAAAATGGGTCCTCCGGTGAGGCTCAGCCTCATCGAACTGCGAGGCCAACGGGAAACAAGACAAGAAATGGAAAGGCTTTTTAAGACGAGATCTTTCAACGCAGCGGAGGAAGCAGTACGTTTGGCCCTTCTGACATTCCGTAGAAGGAGCTCGTGGGGGGCCTCCGGAAACCACGCCCCCGCAACGCAGGCTGTCTATCGTGCTGCCTGTTGCGCGTGCCGACAACCCGACCCGAGAAGGCGCCGCCGCGTTCTTACCGCGGACGCGCCCGAAGCCGGAAGTAGAAACTCCTGAGGCCCGGCACCGCGGGAGCCACCTCGCTAGTGGGCGGAGACGCACATGCGCAGAGGCGTCCAGGAGGGCGCTTAAATACCGTCATGCGGCCACCGGCGGCCTTTTCCCCTGCCGCCGCCGAGTTGCGCGGAGGCGGAGGCTCGGGGTGAGTGCAGATGGGTCCGGGACGTTGCGGTCTCCCTCTTGTGTGCGTCTTAGTTGTCGGAATTAGAGTTGCCTGGGGTCTAACGGGAGCATTTTTCTGCTGGTTCTGTTTTTCAGTGTGTTCAAGATTCGGCCTCACCCGTAATCCACCGCCATGGCCGAGGAAGGGTGAGCTTGGGCGTGGGGCCTCCCGCGGGCTGCGCGGGCCTGGGTGTTCTCGGTGAATGCCGGGGTTTCTAACGCGCTTCTGACTGCGTTTTCAGCATTGCTGCTGGAGGTGTAATGGACGTCAATACCGCACTTCAGGAGGTGCTGAAGACCGCCCTCATCCACGATGGCCTCGCACGTGGCATCCGCGAAGCTGCCAAAGCCTTAGACAAGTACGTGTCTCAGTCTCAATACTGTGGGTAGTGGCGGCCGGAACAAAACCTGCAGCCGAGGGAAGCAAGCGTGAAGCTCATGCTGCTAGCACAAATGTTCTGAGTGGCATCCGTTCGACAGGAAACCTAGGAAAAGGTACCAGCTCAGATCTCCCTAGCCCACTTAAGATGGCGTGGGTTGCTGTGTGGACTGGGAATGAGCAGCACTTGTTTGTGGAAACTACAGTGTTTGAATGATGACTTGGATTGTCGGATACCCCTTCACCCCCTCCATGGGTGAGAAACGGAATAGTCTGACAAACCTGTAGTTTATGGGGCTAGCCAGTTGTGCTAAAGGATAGAGGGCAACCTCGTTAACTACTTTGGAAACTAATCTGCTAAACTCAGTAATGTAGCACCTGAGAAATTTAACCTGGAACGATACTTTATAACACGTGGGTCTAATCAGTCATTAAGGTTATGCGTACATACTGTTACCACCCTTCTGCTTGTGGAAAGGGTAATTGTAACTTGAACTTGTTGGTATGATGAATTGGCACTTGGGATCCAGGTGGACATCACAGATACCGCCGTGATGCTTGCTCTGTAGGATACTGGCTTGCATTAGGTTTTTGAAACCTTTTGATGTGTAACAACACGAAACCAAGAAGTGGTTGTGGTTTCCTTAGGCCATAAATAGCTTCCTAGGAAATACTGGTATCTGAGGGTTAGATAAATTGGCTAAAAATTACTGGCTTTAAGCAGTTTGGTACACATAATCAACTGGGTACTGTGTGTTAGGTGTTAGTAGTATAGTTGGTGAGGATGTCTTGACCCAAAACTTCTACCATGAAGTTGTGGTTTCACCATTGAATTTTGCGTTTTAGGCGCCAAGCCCATCTCTGTGTGCTTGCATCAAATTGTGATGAGCCCATGTATGTCAAGTTGGTGGAGGCCCTTTGTGCCGAGCACCAGATCAACCTAATTAAGGTAAGGAGGTTGGGATGCATGCTATCAAAAGGTGGTTTTGACAAACGGTGAGCTGCACATGATGACACCTGGCTCCCTCTACTGAACAGCTATGAGGAAAATGCCATGTCACCCTTCTGACGCAGCCACCTTCAGGATTTGGTTTCTAGCTTCTCAGTGGTTGCTTTCATCCCTGCTAATAATGGTTTTTGTTTCTGTGTAGGTTGATGACAACAAGAAACTAGGGGAATGGGTAGGCCTCTGTAAAATCGATCGAGAGGGGAAACCTCGGAAAGTGGTTGGTTGCAGTTGTGTAGTGGTTAAGGTAGGTTTCTTTCCTCTGTGATGTTAGATCTTTAGTGGGATTCTGTTCTTAAATGTAAGCCATGATTTTAGCCAGCTAAGTAATCTGCTTATCTCATGTGCTTCTGCAGAAATTTAGGAAAGGCTGGCAATAGAGATGCCATGTTACGAGCCTTAAGGACAGCTGAAGTCTTTAAGGTCCCTGAGAATGGCTACAGTATTGTAATGCAAGGGAAGCACTGATTTAGTAATGGGTAAACAGAACTTAATACTAAAGAAGTAATTTGCATCTAATTTCTTTTAAGGATTATGGCAAAGAATCTCAGGCCAAGGATGTCATCGAGGAGTACTTCAAGTGCAAGAAATGAATAAATAAAAATTTTTGGCTCATTTTTGTTTTTTGTTTGCTTCTGTAAAATGGGGTTCCTGTTTGTGCAGATGGTTGTTAGAATATTAGAACTTTTTGTTATTTGAGACAGTTTCTCTGATTTGGAACTCAATCTGCCTGACTCAGCCTTCCAAGTGTAGGAATTAAAGGCATGAGCCACCACCGCCCGGCTTTAGAAGCATGCTTTTAAAAATTACCTCTTTGATCTTAGTTTGAATGACTACCTAGGCTTGGGGAGTGTATAAGATTAAAATTAGTTCTGCCATGGTATTTCTGATGGACAGTGTCCAAGGCATTGGAGTTTTATCAGTGGAGATTGTAGGCTTAAGTGATTTGGGAAGTCTTGGAGCCAGGACTGTATTAACTTCCAGTGAGTAGACAACAGCTTCCTAACATAAGGCATGTAAAGCTTACTGTACTTGGCTTGAAGGGGTCAAGTTGGGATGGTTGGGATGGAGCCTGGGAAAAGGGATATTTGGGTTTAAGAGTTGGGTGCCTGTGGGCCCCTTTTTATAGTCAGTTTACATCCTTGATCTAAGAAAGTCAGCAGTTAGAATTTATGTACCTTTTTTTGGGTGCCCTTGAAGTTGGACTGCAAATAATTGGGAAGGTTTAGAAACTTGCAACGATGCTTTTTTTTTGTTTTTCGAGACGGTTTCTCTGTGGCTTTGGGATTTACATTATTTGAGACTTGTTTGGTCTTCATCTTAAGCATTTGGTGACAGCAAGCTTGCTTCCAAGGTGTCTTGGTTTTAAGAAATGTCAGGGGGAAAGTACTTTATTCTGGCCATGTGCATCTATGAGGCTTAATCTTAAAATGGAAGGCCATTAGGTCTTTAGACCAACTACCAATGAGACTATCAGCTATTAGTACTGCTGGCTGGAGACTGAACAATGTTGTAACTGATGCTAACACTGGGAAAATTTGATGTTTTGGCTGGCCTGCCAAGTCCTGCCACCCCACCCAGGTACACAAGGGTAACATTTTGAAGATAGGAAAAAGGTTTGTCAGAAGAGGTTGGGAAATCTTGGGTAATGCGGCTGCTGTGATTTTCTGTTTGGCTTTAATCAAAATGCTGTACTTGGGTGACATGAAAAGTTTTTGTAGTAGCATTTGATGAAGGATCATAGTTTGCTGTGTAGTCCAGACTTGGATTTGAAGCAACCGTCCTGGCCTCTACCTTCCAATTGCTGGGATTACAGATGTGCTAACACCTGGCTGAAAACTTGGCTTGTCTGTGGGATTCGGGAATCAAATTTGAGTCAGACTTGGCAGTTGGCAAACCATTTCAGTGCTGGCTATGAAGTCATAGCCAGCAGAGGGCGGCCTAAGGCTGATGCCAGCAGTGAGACTTCTCCATGTAAAAAGGGAAAAGGTAGACAGTACTAATGAACATTATTCTTAGGAAAAGACAGCTGTTTAAGATCAGGAAACGGCCGGGCTTTGGTGGCGTACGCCTTTAATCCCAGCACTCGGGAGGCAGAGGCAGGCGGATCTCTGTGAGTTCGAGGCCAGCCTGGTCCACAAAGTGAGTTCCAGGACAGCATCCAAAGCCACAGAGAAACCCTGCCTCGAAAAACAAAGATCAGGAAACGAAGCTATAGGGTGTGGAAAATCCTTGCTGGGTGGTGGTGGCTCATGTCAATTATCTCAGCATTCTGGAGGTAGAAGCAGGTGGATCTCGTTCTGAGACCAGCCTGGTCTACAGAGCTAGTAGTTCCTGGACAGCCAAAGCTATTACAGAGAAACCTTGTCTCAGAAAAGTCTTGAAATTAAGTAGAACCTGGGGGCATTTGTGAATGAGTGCTTGTCTTCCATGCAGAAGACTTAGGCGGCTGTCTCCAGCATGAGCACGGAAAGACAGGTACCAGGATGTTTTAATGTTGGTTTCAGTTGTGATTTCTAATAGTCCATCAGGATTTTACAGATTGTTTTTTTTTCAGAGCGTATCTAATTTTTTAGAACTTAAATAGAAACAAGCTTGTTTTACATGTTAGCTCCAGACAGCTTAGATTTATTAATGATAGCCAATTAGAATTAAACTAGTTGGATGTTTCTGTTGCAAAATTTATTCGTGTTCCTTAATTGCATTTTTTTTTTGGTATTTTCAGGCCTGGCCTGAAACTCATGTAGAGGAGGTTGACCTCAAATCCAGAGCTCGACAAATCCAGAGCTCTAGTCTCTGCCTCCTGAAGGATTAAAAGGCATGTGTCACCATGCTTGTTTTAAACGTTGGTAGGGCTCTCTCTCTCTGTGTGTGTGTGTGTGTGTGTGTGTGTGTGTGTGTGTGTGTGTGTGTGTGTGTGTCTCTGGCTGTCCTAGAACTTTGTAGGCCCGACTGACCTCAGATCTCAACTAAGAGATCCTGAGTACTGGAATTAAAGGTGTGTGCCACCACAGCCCTAAACGTTGGATTTTTAGTTCTTGGAATTAGTCATCTAGAGGTGGAAGCAATTTGGCTAACCCCCATAGAAACACAATGTTTACCTATCCTAAGTCAAAGTGGTTTCCTTCAGATCTCTGGCCAGTTAAATCCTTTGAAAGTTTTTTTCCCCTTAAAAAAACAAAACAGTATTCATACCTTGAGGCATCAGCAAATATTAATTGGTTGATGCATAGTTTTACTTTTTCTGGAAGAAGTTTTAAGGGTGTACTGAGTATTTGAACTCAAGCTCTCATGCTTGCATGTTGAGCACTCAACTATTTGATCAGCAGTCTGTGTCCTAAAGGAGCAAGTGAATTGACTTAGCCTAGGGCTTACAGTCAGTTTGAATATTTTATTTAGCTTTTGTTTCAGAATCTACATCTTTGCTCACGAAATCATAGAGATGAACAATTTCGTTAAGTGTTTTGGTAGACTGTCAGCTGGTATTGCTGTAATTGTGTATATTTGGAGGGCACTGAGGAGCAAGTCTAAGGCCTTGCATGCTAGGTGTGATGGTTAGTGTTTCAGATTGACAGAATCTAGACTTGCTTAGGAGATGGGCCGCTGCGTACCCATGGGATGATATCTTGGTTTCATTTGCTGAGTTGGAAAGACCTGCCCATTGTGAGTGGTGCCATTCTCTGGGATTCTGGGCTGCAAGTAAATAAAGGGAGCCAAGTAAATGTGTTGCTGTCTGCTTTTCAATATAAATAAGATGTGACCAGCTGCCAGGCGTTGGTGGCGCACGCCTTTAATCCCAGCACTCGGGAGGCAGAGGCAGGCGGATCTCTGTGAGTTCGAGACCAACCTGGACTACCGAGTGAGTTCCAGGACAGCCTCCAAAGCCACAGAGAAACCCTGTCTCGAAAAAACCAAAAAAAAGATGTGACCAGCTGCTTCAAGCTCCTGCTGCCAACCTGACTCTCTGCCTTGATGGCAGTGGAATGCACCTTTGAACTGTTGCCTTTGTCAGAGAATTTTATCACAGTAACAGGAGCAGAAGCTAAAACAGTAAGCAGGTATCCCAGTCCCACTCCTGCTCCAACACTGACACTACAACATATTCCTGGAGGAAAAGGACTTCTACAGGAATACGGAAATTTTGTTTTAGTTAGGATTTTCCCCTCCTTTTGCTGTATTATGTTTTGTATGTTACATCAGTTACAAAAGGTTCCAGAGAAGTCTGCTTATAGGCATGGTGAAGGGGGTGTGCTTGGAGATATCATCTGCACATAGCAACTCCCCTGGAATCATCAGTTACTCCTACACAGTCTGGTGCCTAGAACAGTGCTTAAGATGGTAGGCACTTGGATATTATGTTAGTTAGGTGAATAAGATAGGCTTGTTACAGCCTTTATTCTAAGGCTGAATTGCTCAGTCTTTTTTGTCTCTTTATTTTCTCATTTTCCTTTCTCTCTGGCAGCAAATGTCAATCTCAGCTTGGCCTCTTTCAGGTTAGTATGGTGCCGAGCTGTCTAATTTCTTTTCAGCTCCACTCTAGGGAACGGGGCAGAGAAAACTATCCTATCACAATATGGGGTACATGGCTCTAGGAGTCTGAAAAAATAATTTTAAAAGCCATTTTGCGACCTGGGAATAGTAAAGTGCATGTGAATTCAGGAAACTTTTTAAACCACAATAATTTCTTTTTGAAGCCTATTAAGACATAGGCCAACAGCACAGTATTGGGCAAGTGATGGGAATTAAACATTACACAAATGTAGTACTTGTCTTTATTTTCTGCCTCTCAGCTCAACTGCCCCTCATTAAAATTTACAAATGGACATAAAAACCCTGTTTATACCTGGTTGACTTGTTAGAGAAATAGTGAGTAAAAGGCCTGCGGTGTTTCACATTGCCGTCACCAGGTTAAAGGAGCAAAATGTGTGTAAAAATAAATAACTGGGATCCATGGGGAATAAACTCTTAACACACAGAGTGGCACAAGTTAAACCCCCGTCTTCTCTCCTAGACCTGATGCTGGGTAAACCTGGGAATTCAGGGTAGATGTTTTGTGGGATGGGTATGTGTGCCTTGCTGGGAGGTGGGCCATGAAGTGTTGCACTTATGTCACTTTCACAAGGGAATACACACATGATTGCTAAGAAAAATAATGACTTTAAGACCTCTTTCAAATGACTAGTTTGAAATAAAATCAGGCAAAATATTCTAAATTTTGTCATATAGAGACTTAACACTAAGTTGCATAGCGTTTTGGTGTGTGTTTTTTTTGCAACATTTTAAATAAATCTTAGATTTATTTACTTTTGTGTGTATGGGTGCTTTGCATGTATGTCTGTGCAGTATGTGCATGCTTGGAGCCCGTCTAGTCCAGAAGAAGGCATTGGATCCCCTGGAACTGTAGTTACACATGGTTGTGAGCCGCCACGTGGATGCTACTAACACATGGGTCCTTCTTGACCACTGAGCAATCTCCCCAGCCTTGCAAGTTTTTAAATAATAGTTAAATTAAAAATTAATACTAAAAATATTTTAGTAAGAAAAAGGGCAAGAAAGGGGAAAGGAATGTTATAAATGGTAAAGGTTTTCTTGTACTGATTGTCTTCCTTACTGGG